AATCATACCGTATACTCGGTCAAACTATTGAAGTTTCAGAGGAGACTGTACATTTTTCTTTCCAATTAAAAATAACAAAATCTCCGTAATAAATTAAATTACGTTCAATTTTTACATTAAAGTAAAAAATGTGTGGAATTCGGCAACATAAATACATGTAATAATAACGTTCTCAATATCGTGTGAAAAAAATTCCGGTCACAACCTCTTTGGGCCCATAAACTTGCCAGCTACCGTCCCCTGCTGTCAGATCCAATTATATCCATTTTACTTTTTGTTTCTTTCAGTTCTTTCAGGCAGCTCTCCGCTGTAGCAACCCCCTCCCACCCACGCAAGTCTAATACTCCCCGTCGTAAAATGTGCACAACAATAAAACAATGTTATTTTTTACTTAACAATTACTAAATTGTTATTTTATTTTAGATTATAAAAGAACGATAACGGGTGTTGTAACCGATTTCATTTATTGGAATTAAAGATATAGATACGCTCGATACATTTATTTTCTGTATTTTTAAGGCGAATCTTGTTTGAGGCTTACACAATTCGATTATAAATATCGTTCTCGCTAGAAAAGTGGCCTCTTCTGATATGTAAAGGAAGCTTAAAACTTGTTGCTCGCGTATATAAGTATTTTAATTTAATTTATTCATAGCAATTTCATAAATAAAAGACTATAGTAATACTGTAATGGAATACATTTTCCTGAATATAAATTTCTAAAATTTCATTATATCCTTGCAAAGTATCAAACATTAGAAATCTGTTTTCAAATTATATTTCATCAACAACAAAAAATTACAAAAAGTAGGGATTTAAATTTTGCTTAAAATGTGTATGATGGTCTCAAGCTTTTAAAAAATATATTTATAAGCATATTTTTTAATGTACTCCATTACATGAATGTTGAGCTAGATAAAAGAAAAAGTTGGGGAAAAAAATTGATAATTTAATTTTTTTTTAATTTATTTTAATTACGAATTTTTCGGGGGGCATAAAAATAGAGCACATTTCACTAATTATTATTAAAGCGAAAACTTTTGAGTTTTCTTTAGATATACTACTTTGTAACACAGTTTCATGAATAATATTTTTTTTTTCTTCTTTTTTTCATGCTTATTAAATTTGCCATTGATTTTCTCTGTTAAATATCAGAATATTGAACAATATTCTCCTCCTACACGCATTTTTTTTTCTTTTTTAACTTTCTATTATTTTTTAAAAGAAAATGCAGTATAAAGACAAAAATAAAAATGACGAAAATAAATTTAAAAATAAATTATATGGGTTTTTTTTTAATCCGATAAAGTAGAACGCAGGGAAAATATTTTTAAAATTTATTTAAGATAGCTATAGTATTTTGAAATTTGAATTAACCAGTTTAATCAACCGAATATTGGGACATTTTTATGTACTAAAACGACCAGTTTTAAAAATCGTTAAATATTTTTTTTTTTTTACTTATATAAAACTTGAAAACATTTATAATATTTCTTTTAATTATACTATTTTCCCATTGCGCTCAACATGTAAAATAATGTTAGGCGTGTTAATATCATAGAAATACCATTTAATAATTAAGTAGTTTAACCCAAAAAACTTTTGATAATAAATAAAACTACTTTACTTTTCAGTAATATCAAGAATTATTTGAATTTCATTAACAGGTCAAGCGGCGCCTTGCCTTGAATTTCCAAGGCCCCTTGCAATTTTTCAAATTTATAATTAAAAAAGTATTCACAGCACTAATTAAAGCCCCTAAGATATTAAAGGTTTCTTGCAACCGCAGGGGTTGCAGGGCCAACACGATGGCTCTGAAATAAGTGAAAACTAAACTTTTAACTGGCATTTCTCCGGTTGCTTCAGATTAAAAGTAGAATGGTGCAAAATTAAATTTCAATATTTCAAAATCCATTCTCACCTTTTGAATTGATCAATAATTTTCTGGGGAATATATAAATTTCAAGTATGAGGCTAAGTTAGGACAACAAAAAGGTTATACCCTCAAAGTTATCTACTGGAACACATTTAGTTGATGTTTGGATGAGGGGCAGTTAGAGATTTACCTGCTCTTAAGTGTGGTTAATTCTAGTGCTTTAGACAAGAAGTTCGAAATGATCGCTCTCAAATTGTCTGAAACAAACACCAAATCCAAATATGCGCCAAAATGAGCCCTAGCATTTTGTATTAATCTAAATTTTTCTATTGGTTCCCTGTCCAATCTTTTGCTTGAGAGTTTTTGGCACCCACAAGTCTGAAACGCCCTCTAGAGGAAAAATTCTAAACGAAACACTGCTATATGATTTATTATTACTATTTTTAAATTGAATAGCTAAATTAAAATGTACCTAAGTAAAATAATCAGTTAGCAAGAGTTATAAATATTCTAATGTTTTCACAGGAAAACCATGCAATATTTAAAGTCTAGCTTAATTCTCTTGGCAGAAACTTAATTGACTATGTTCATATTTATATGATATGTCTAGGCTTTGAAAGAAGCAACAAATCTCACTGAAATCACCTCCAGGATTCTAAGGTGGGGAATATGATAATACAAGTCACACTGAAGGCAAAACCTTTAATATCAATCTTTAAACTTTGGTTAAGATTCAGTTTTGCTCAGTAAGCCTTACTACAACAACTGTATTAATTAAATTTTTTTTTAACACAGTCCGCAAATTCCATCAAAAGAAAGTTTTCGAATCATTCTACTTGATAATCATTTTGAAAATCAAATGTGTTTTCTAACTATTTATGCTAAATTAGTATAAATCGCGTCGGCTCTCAATAAAAATTATCAAAAAATATAAAACATGCATGTTTTATGTCTTGAAAAAAGTTCATTTATCTCAAAATCAAAACTGTCGAAAAGAAAAGATTCACTTTTTTGAAAGTCAAATGATCCATTAAAAATGCAATCTCCCCTAAATGGACCTATGCTTTAAAGCTACGCAACATTTTTTAGCCGTGTGTAAATGAAGGTCTATGGAAACAAAATAAATGCGGAAGGGTGGGGGAGGAGTAACTCGGGTAACAGTTTAGGGGCGTCCACTTTCCCCTTTCCCCTTTGTCAAGAGCTGTCAATATTTCAGTGACCCCCCCCCCCCTCGCCCACTATCTATCATTTAGCGTAGTTGTCGGGAATTATATTTTGCACGCTAGTGAACTCATTATTTAACCTCACTCTGACGTATCTATTGCCTCTGTGGTGGTGCTTGACCTTTGCTGGCGAATTATATTTATATATATGTATATCGATTGTACGTATAGCTGACGATTGTTGAATAGTTTTTAGCTGCTAATATTTTCATGTGGAGTATCCAGGTGTGGCTCTATCGTAGCAATGGGCATAGTAGCTGATATATCATCTTCATCTAGCAGAACTGACATATAAGACAAGTCAACATTAACCACATCTTACCATTCAGTACTTAAAATAGAATTTTTACAAGTGTGAACAATAATTTTCGTCAGCTCTCTTTGTCCTCTGACAGCTATTCAAATTGGTTGAATTCTTTTTTGTTGAGGGGCAGTTGGTAATTTCGTATGCTCAATAGTATATTGTTGGTGCTGTTGAACATGCTTCTTTTTAAATGACTTGTGATGCAAATAGATGTTTGAATTTTTTTTTTTATTTCTTCAAGTGGCGATTTTATTATTGTTACCCGTTTTAGTTTATCTTAATTTTCAAGACAGTGTAATCTATAAATATCATTTAGCTTGACTGCAAATGACACTTGAACATTGTCCTTGTTCAATACATGCCCTAGTCATTTGCGACAAACAGAATCTACAAATGAAGAAAGGCCAACTTTTGTCTTCTCTTGCACTAACAAAATGTGCAAACATTCGGACCAGCAATCTGGGTAATAAGGAGAGAGACTGCAATCAGGTTGGCACAATATAAAATGAGTAAAAAAAAAAGTAGGGTTAAACCTGAATAAAGGAACGCAATAAAAACAACGAACTTGTCTGCAGAAAGCTTTCGTCACCGAACAAAACAGCAGAAAAAAAAAACGGTATAAAAATAAAAATTAATAGCATTTCGCTTAGAAGTAGTATCCGTGAGCAGCAGAAGAAATGTGGTTCCCTTTTTTCAGGTTTAACCCTACTGACCAGCAATCTGCAGTGCACTGACGGATACACATTAAAAACATATTTTATTGTTAAATGCCTAAAATTAGGTGACTATTTGCACTCATTATTTTTTAATTCAAATATTGTAATACCCAGTCAATTTTTATGATTAAAATTAATAGAGAAAACATGATTGTTGACTTCAATTAATCTAACGTCCCCTACCCCTTGTCAACAATTGCCAAACATTTCCAAACCCACTCCAACCCCACCCCCATTATGTTTACATGATTAATCGACGTCCCTTTATCGGTTTTATGGAGCAATTTTCAAACCGATTTCTACAATACTTTCCCAAACACTGCGACTTACAAGTTCAGATGCACATAAAATAATCAATCGTCAATTCAAAATGTATCAGTTTTTACAACTTTGAAATCAACTATTCTACTGTCGGTAAAATGATTGTAAGGCAGACACTGCTATGACAGTGATTCTTAACGTTTCTGACGCCGCAACCCATTACTACATATCATCATGTTGTGGTGACCCCCGAACCATTATATAATTTTCTTTTTTACTTCATAACTGTAGGGTATATGTGTTTTCCGACGGTCTTAGTCGACCCCTGTGAAAGGGTCATTACAGCATTAAAGATGTCGCGAACTACAGTTTGAGAACCGCTTGTCTAGGAAGAAGCCATTATGTAAAACAAGGTGTGGAAAATATAAAATTGGACTCAAAAATAAAGAAAAACATATTAAAATTATATTAGAATAGCTCAGTTGCCCAAATATTAGAAGAGATTTAGTATTATTTTTTTACATCTAGAAACAATAAATTTGAGGGAAATTTATCCACCAACATATATTTGTTTTATAAAATTAATTTCTTGTTTTAAATTAAGTTTTTCTTTCTGGATACTTAAATAGAAAAAGTTGCTTTTCGGAAAATCCCGATATTCTATGTCAGGATACATTTGAAAATTAAAGTCAATACGCGTCCATTACTATCTACTCTAAGGTATTGATAAAGGTAATTAAATTTTAATTCATTACACATTTAAAAGTTGTTGACTTCTATTACAACAACAAACATTAATTAACACTTTCTTGGACAAGTTTATGATCAGTCTAAGAGCAACACACTAGTCATATAAAATTTGACATATTTTTTTTTTCCAGTCATAGAGTTCGTTCAAATATTGTCCACTGAAAATTTGAAGAAAAAATCAACATGACAACCCCGCTGGTTAATCCAGGTATTACAGTGAAACAAATTATTATGTTTAGGAAAATAGCTAGTCTCAATTTATATTTTGATAATATCATTTTTTTTTAAAATATATTTTAAAAAATGTAATGACATAGCCTACTCTTTACCTGAACCCTTAATGACGTTATAGACGTTGTACATCATGCCTACTGTTATTTTTTACAGTATTTTATTATTGAGTATCTACCAAAAACTCATTTTAACACACTTTATATTACTTTAATTTTGTCTCTTTACCGATGTCTTTCAATTTTTTTTTTTTTTTCATCTTTAAATGGTTTCTAAGTTATTGAATTAAAAATAATAATTGTTGAGATCAAATAGTGAAATATAAATTGATTAGGTAAACTATGTATTTCGTTTCAGAGGTAAATCTATCCGGTGGCATTGGAATTCGTCTCGTGCTACCTGATGGATACATTATTCAAAAAAGAATATTTGAAAACTGTACAGCCTTTGAAGTAAGTAGCAAAATATAAAAGTAGAAAGCCATACGGATTTCGCTTGTGGATGTGTAATATATTGAAGTGTTATTTCTTCAATTTTAATTTTTAACAGCAAAATTTGTTGTTTTTTTTTTAAATGTATGTGCAGAAATGCCTTAAAGAAAAAAAAATCTACTTATTAAACATTGGTGGCACTAGTGCTTGCGAAGTGTGAGGATAGCACATGGTTACAATACCACAAGGGTATATAAAGTATATATAACGGTTTACACCACATTTAAAAATGGATCATCTGATTTAACGCGTACGAGTTTGTTAATATTTTAAATTAAATACAAGAGCAGGGTATAAATTGAAAAATGTGCTACCGAAAAAGAGCAGGATGTCACAAGAATAGGGTTTCACCCGAGCGTCTATTGCCTGGCTCAGCAATATCAATGGCGCAGCTTAGCTATGAGACGCAAGGCGTGGGTTAAGATTAAATTGCGTCCACTTCAGAAGAACATAAACTTTAAACTCAGATTCCATTCTAAAGTGATCAGTTATGTGAAAATATCAGATGGGCAATTTGAAATGTGAGAAGAGTTACTGGGATTTTTACTATGAAAGGGAAAACACATGAATCTAGTACTGATATTATACAAAAATCTGGAAAGTGATTGACTACAAAAAATGATTATATATATATATATATATATATATATATATATATATATACTAGCGGATATACCCGGTGTGGCCCGGGATTGCAATAGGACCCTGATCCTGGTGGGACCCCGATCCCAATTGGACCCTATTCCCATTCTGACCCCGATCCCGGCTCAATCCCGTTACCAGGTGTGATCCAGATGCCGGTGAGATCCAATTTTATTGTGGCTCCGGATCCAGGGGGAATCCACATTTTGGTGGGAACCCGATTCCGTCGGTAACTCGAATGCGATGGGATCCCGATCGTGGTGGATCTTGATAGGCTACATATGGAGTTAGAATACCATTCTCTATGGGATTCCGGTTCCCCTAGGGACCCTATTTTCCGATTTCACCCCGTTTCCCGATAGGATCCCGATCCCGGTTTGATCCCGTTACCCGATGGGATTGCGTTACCGATGGGTTCCATTATATTAATGGACATCGCTCCCCATTAGGATCAGTGTGTATTTGTTCGAATAAGGATTTAGATCACGTTATATAACCCCTTAGAACAATCTAGAACTTTCTGGAAGATTCTAGAATTAATTTAATATCCTCAATGAAAGCTTTAAAAAAATTACTTTTCTAGGAAATTATTTTTCAAATACGTAATATGATACAACTAATTTGCAACAGTGTAACTATAGTGGATTTAAATTAAACTTGGATCCCCGTGAGGGCCCATTTAATATGGCACGTTTTTAGTTATGTCTGTGATGGGGGGAGGGGGGAGAGGGGCTATAAAAGTAATTTTTTAAAAATAATAGCGTTAAAATTTAAAAGTTTTCCCATAAAAATCAGTTTAAAAATGCCATAGATATAGCCTTTATAAAGTATCGAATGTTCTAGAAAATTATATATTGGATGTTATTTGTTTTAAATCCGCCGATATTTCAAAACAGACAATAACGTGTATTGTTATTTGGTGACAGTTAAGCTTTCTGATCTGAGTCTAGTAGCAATTGAAAGTTATTGGGTGAATGATATTAATTTTGATCAAGTCATTGACTGGTTTGGAGCTTTGGTTTTTGTATCTTTAAAGACCAGGAAAGTGTTTTTTTTTTATAAAAGTTAACTCAAAGTCAAAGAACCATAACTTAATGGTGTTACAGTACTTAAATAAATTTTATTCCTGACTTTAATTAATTTGTTGTTTTTTTTCTTGTCTTTGTTATACTATGAACTAATTTTAACATGAAGAAATCCATCGTGGAAGTCGGGCAAATGTTGGGTTACATCATGAGTTTACCGCACCGTGTGACACCAACCCTAAGTACGCCAAACAATGATTTGCAAAGAAGAAATACTTTAAACATGTTGCTTTTTAGACGATAAGAAAGATAATGTGCTTTTAACTGTAAAGCTAAAATAGATTATGGTTTCTGCAAACAGCTGAAGATGGAGCACTTGAAACAAGAGCAGTTAATGGAATACCGAGTGGAGTTGAAATTCTACGATACCATCAGAATCGTGCAAGATGCCGAGGAGTTTGGCAGAGACAATCTTATTAGATGTGATGAAGTCAGAATTGTACATTCACAGTAAGTTTGTGCTTTAAAGTGGCGCGTTTGAACTTTGAACATTGACGTTGCCAAAATTATATGTAGTTAACACAACACTGATCTTTTCAAAGTCACATGTGTTTGAGGAAACTATTTATTTCAGTAAAGACGCTGTGTGTTGCGAGATTTCTTAAAATAAATAAAAAAAGAAAATTATAGCCTAATATCATAATAGTATCATTTGCTTCTGCTGCTTACCCAAAAAAATATATATTTCATTTGGAACCGTCGTGTGACCTTTGAGAGGCCTCTGCAACGTTTTCGGAATAATTTAAACTAGCACAAAAAATATACCACAATCTTTTTCAAAAAAGTATACTTAGATTTTTTCAGCGCACTAAAATTATGTCAAAATGTACTATGAAGTTAAAATAAAAATTTAAAAAAGTACAACTTCTAGACATAAGCCCAAGGAGACGCATGCCTTATATGAGGATTATCTTTAAAAAGATTTTATTCAAATGCAGCCATTGTCAATACATGCATAAAATTGTTAGTACAGTTTATTATTAATTCAAGCTCAATAATAGCATTTAAAACTTAAATTATAATTGTATTGATTTGATATTATACCATCCCTTTTAAATTTTGTTGTTTTTCAAAAGACATTGTTCGTTTGGACTTAAATTAAATTCATCACTGAAACTTAACATGTGTTTCCGTCCCAAATGTTTCTTTCTATTAAGGAAGGATAACGCATTGAAAGCTCTGTGTACTGTTAACTTACGACACATAGCTGGTATCAAGGATATAACTTGTAGTCCAATGACAATAACAAAAAGATGTAATAAAAAGGGAAATCATATACCCTTTCAATGTTGGCAATTAATTTAAAACAACCAGAATTGGCAGATGATTTAAAAGAAATAAACATCGTTTTGTTGTCAAATACCACTTGTACAAATGGCTGGTAAATTATTATTCTTTTAAACAATTACCAATTCTTTAGCAATTCGGTACACATTTTAATATCCTATGAATCTTTGTATTCTTTTATATATAATTGGAGATTTTCTCAATTAATACCCTGCCCTTAAGTTTTACCCTAATTTGGTTCTGAAGTCATCGGTACCCATGATTACGTCTTTCCGATATAAGTGACGTACCGGCACTTTTCCATAAACAATGGAATCTGAGAATAACTTAAACACTTGAGACGGGGCTAGTGTGGTGCGATTTGCAGTTTCAGTTGGCGTTAAAAATGAGTCGGTGACTGGACTGTACGAGTTAGCGCATATGCCAAGGTGTCATCGTTAGTACAATATCTGTTATTTCATTATTACTTAACATTAAAACAATATATATATATATACAATTTATGTTCTTTTAGGGGGTTGGTTTAGCTCACTTAAAGTCCGGCAAGGGCGGTACAATGCTTCACCACCACCCTGGCTTTAATGATGTATTGCGTTTTAAAATATTGACTTTAAATAAACGGGAGGGAGGGGCATTCTAACGTTACAAGGGGCCTACAAAATTTACACTACACGTCTGTTTTAAAGTTAAATACATATTTTAAAAAAAAATGAGTAATAATATTAATTTTCTTCCACATCTGTTTTAATAAAAAATAGAGTCGACCGTCTCCACTTCGCGCCTCAACATTCCCGACTTCAATATATCGCGTTTTTTTTCAAATATAAAATGTATTCATTTACAATTTGATCTAGATATTGAACATGTTAGAGCGCTTGTAGTTGCCCGAATATATTTGATTTATAAATGAGGAGTCCTAGGTAGCTGAAATTTAATCACCGCGAAAAAGTCTGGAACTGATTAACCGCAATAAACATGGGATGAATCTTTTTTCCTTATCAATAAAAATCTTGAGGTAAGTAAATAATAAACATTTTTTTTTATTTCACGTCTATCCAGATCTGAAGTGCAACAAGCGCAAGGTAAAGATCTATCAACTGCTATAAAGCTACGTACTGGACAATCACAATAGCTTCACCAGAAAAAGCAAATATACTTGAGGCGATATGTCTTATTTTATGTATATGTATCTTTTCATTATATTCGTTGCATTTTAATTTAATATATCATTTAGAAATACACATCTACTTACAAACCCATTTCGAATTCTCCATCGATACACATTGCTTAAGTTATTCAGTGAAAATAAAACTTTTAATTGTTTATTTTCAAATTATTCTATTAGGAAAAGTTTTCTTTCCAATTCTTTAAATTAAGCAGCCTGCAAGCAAACAACAACAAAAACATTCCAATCACAAAAAAATAACCAATGTTGAAAAAGTTTCAATGCTTAATATTATTCCTACTCTTTCATCCATTTTATTTTTAATATTTTGTTTGCCATTTTTAAAATCTTCAATGTTAAGAGTTGTTGAAAAAACGATGGCATTATTATGTTGAAAAGTGCATTTAATATATTTCATAATCTCTGGCTTCTAACACTTCTACAACACCTACAGTTTGTTCTCATCCAGATAAAGTAATTTCGATGACTAAGTTGGATATATAAGTAATTAGTAGTAATTATTTTGATTCATAAATTAAATAAATAAAAACTTTACAAAGTAGCGTTCTAACTGCCTTGATGTTGTCTTATACTCATATGTGAGACGGGGGCCATGCCACCGATGCGGCTTCGGGTTGTTTGTTTTTTGTTGTTTTTTAATGAAGCTAAATTTATTTTTATAGGTCTAAAAAATGGCAGCCTTATAATGTCAAAGCTGTGGCTCTGCAAACACCAAATATTATATAATAAAGAAATCAATGGAAAGTGCTTAATTTATGGTTCATCGTTATTCTTTACACAAAATGAAAAAAAAAAAAAGGAATAAAAAAGATATAATATATTAACTGTTTTTGCTTTGGTAAAAATAAGTTGTTGTTTTTTTTAACCAACACATGACTGTACTTCTTTTCCTCATGTCATATATTACTTTATGTGCACAATCTTTTAAACTCCAAGAAAGTAGGATACGTTTATTAAAGCCATCCAGATTTAGTTATCACAGGGAGACTTCCGTCAATAAAAGATCAGTTCTGAATTATTTGTTTCCTGAACGTTTCATCTGAGTAAACTATTAGAGAAATTAAATTCGTTAATAAGTGATAAATTGTACGCTCTTTTTTTCCATTACAGCTTTTGTAAATATTACAAGTTTTTGGAAGTTGATTGTCAAGTCTAATTCATTCGGCCGAGTTTAAGTCAAAATTATCGGATCTCTCAGTTTATATATATATATATATATATATCAGGTGCTGGTGGCAAATCTCAAGTTAGTGGTCTGGAGTTCAATTCCAGCCAGAGCCCAGTCAAGCAAAAACATCACCAGCACCCCGGGTGGATGGGACTCGTTAACCCTAGATGGCAACTCATCTAAGAGAAGGAAACTCTGAAATCAAACCCGGAGATGGAGTCCCAAAAGGCGGATAACATTGGGATAATGAAACATTCCGACAACTCCTGCGACGCCACTGGTGCCAAGCTGTATTATCCAATGATGTTCCCTTGGGTTATCCAGCGGCGTGGAGAGAAGCGATTTGCTGTTGGGAACCAGCTTATAATCCTTGAAAAATAATCCCAGGTGATGTGGATTTCGGCCTCCGAAGCCCACTCCATCGTCACAAAGTGACAGACGGATGCCAGCATAGATATATAAACATAACGTTCTACAAAATCTACTTGAAATATTTTAAATTATAGATTACTCAATAGAATAAAAAGGAAATATCGCATCGATCAACGTATTTGTAGTTAGCATATATAATTATTATCAAGTAAATTTGTCATGATGATAAATGACTCAAGCGTTTAGTATCCATTTCACACACTGTAATTTCATTCTTTAATTATTTTCCTGTGGTAAAAGAATATAATTTACCATATTGGGTTACACCCACTCTAGTGACACCATTTAATTAATTTAGAACTAATTGTACCAAAATTAATCATTATTTTTTTTAGAAACTTATCAAAATAGGTTCAACTGGAGAAATATTATTTGTAATTTTGACATTGATAAGCAACATGTGTGTTGATGCTGCTTGGTTTATATTTAAATAAAAAGCAAGGTGATAAGACAAACGTACCTCATGACTCCATTAAAACTATTATCCACCGATTCCATCGTTAATTGCAGTGCTTCCTCTCCAACAAAAAAAAAGTTAAGACTAAAATGGAGCATCTTAAGCCCACCAACAGATTAACACCTCATCAAACAGTAACGAGTTAGAACTTGGTGGTATGCACCCTTCCCTCCCCCCCCCCCGACCTCCCACACTCTGATGACCAAAGGTCGCTACTTCCTAAGAGTCTTAAATGTATTCAACTCAAATCATCCCGTGATCGCTATAAAAAAAAAGTTAAGACTAAAATGGAGCATCTTAAGCCCACCAACAGATTAACCCCTCATCAAACAGTAACGAGTTAGAACTTGGTGGTATGCACCCTTCCCCCCCCCCCCCCCGACCTCCCACACTCTGATGACCAAAGGTCGCTACTTCCTAAGAGTCTTAAATGTATTCAACTCAAATCATCCCGTGATCGCTATCAACTACTTTTGGATTCCAACAACTTGAGACTTCATTTTCACTTATCTGGTAAGAATACCAAGCTCCCAGATGATAAGTTAATCCCGTTCCATAGAGAACCCAACTATAACTGGACACCAACATGCAACCAATTCATAGCTTTAAACATGACAACAAGAACCCAACTTTGCATCCTCTCCGGATATCTATTACATCTAAAAGAGAATCAGAGGCAGTATCTAAACAATTGGCTGAAATATATTATTATCAAACCATCTGACAAAGGAGGAGCCGTTGTTGTGTGGGACAAACATATGTACATTAAAGAGGCACACATGCTCTAGAAACCAACCATTTCTACCAACCAGGACCTACAAGCTACAACCCTATTTCTAAATTTTGAGGCATGGTAAAAAGAGACTCTGAAGAAAATGAACGAAGAATCGGCACTCTCTATATCGGCCTCTGCATCACACATTTTTATAGTGACCTAGGTAAGCAGTGTTTCTAGCTTCTTCCTAAAATACACAAGTACGGTTACACTGGTGGACCCGTTGTCTCAGCATGCTCTTTCCACACCGAACACATCTCGCAATTCCTTGATGGAGTTTTTAATAACATCGTAACCTCACTGCCCACCAATATTAAAGACACTAAACCTGCTTTAAAAACTTTTAAATCTATCATCTTCCCTACTGAAATGAAACATCATCTATTTATGCTTGATGTGTGTTATCTATATACTTTACTTCAAATACTTACGGTCTATTTACTTTAAAATTCTTTCTCGAGGCAAAACCCCATTCATTTATATCCACCAGCACCCTTCTCCGATTAGTTGAACTGGTTATCACCCTCATTAAGTTAATTTGGCGTCCAATTGTTCAACCAAATCAGTAATGTTGCCCTTAGGACTAAAATGGGACCCAGCTACGAATGTTTGTTCATGGGGCATAATTACTTATTTATTATTTAATGCTACGTATTTATTACTGAATTATTAGAAAGTAAAAGACAACTGAGCCAGAGTAAATACAAAGGCCCACATAGATTATGTATTAATTTTTATTTATTATTATGTTTACTAGTTAGTTGAGGATGAGACGATAATTTACATCAAATTAAAAGTAATGTGGCTGTAATGGTCACTCTCCAATGTTTGTATTTTTATTATTAAATTATACAATTTTAGCTCAATTCAACGCGTTAAATACCTCTTCAACTCGTTTACAGGGGACATGGCTGTGGAAATTATTCCGTTCGTTACTGTTCCCCACAGAACACGAAGTTTCTATGAAATCGAAAAAAGTAAAAATTAAATGCGCAACCCATATGAAAGTACACCTGATCTTGCTGCAGTAACAGGTAATTCATAATGCGCCACCAAACGTATCATGTGGAACGATAAATGTCCACCTTGAGGACAAGCATGCAATATGTTTAATACCAGGTAACAAAACTAAAAACGTAAGGCAAAAAGCCACCAAGTCCAAACTTATGTCTTAGTAATAACTGAATCAGGAAGACCCTAACGATCGATAGTATTTATATATCAAAATTCCCGTATAATATACATGGGATGAAAAAATTAAAAAGGTAAACTCAGTGTAAGAAGATATGGTACTGCAGTCGTTAGAAAATGTAATGTTAATTCCACGGATTTAGAAACATGGATCCTCTGACTTCCCTTCAGTGTTAGAATAGCTAAATCTTTCGAGGACCTAACAACGATCGAAGGAAATTATATCCCATTGGCAAATTAAAAAAAAAATTGCATTTCAAGGGGTTTTACTGATGATTACTCAGAATGGGAAACTTGAATAAGATAAGCTGCAACCCATCAAATGCCATTACAACTTAGGAGTTGTTTGAATTTATTTGAAAAATCCTTGAGTTGACGGATACAGCTGCGTTATTCAACTGATGCAAAGAAAACGTATGGGAGGTTATAAGAGACGATTTTCTGGCTGAGACAATGGCTCTATATTTGATATTTAAAGAACTTGAAGATTAGCCTAGAACTTTCAGACAGCAACTTTGATGAGCAAACCCATTATAGAAAATATTACAATCCAATTGAAAAAAAAAAGGAAACAAATCTAAGAAAAGATTTTAATGATCAACCTAGAGCTAAGAAGGCCTTTTGACAAACTCAATGACGAAATTGAAAACTATAACTCACCAAACGTCTATTCTTTGACCTGACAGAAGCGCTTACATCTTTCTTTTCAACATAATAGTGCATAAAAATAATATTTATTTACAAGAAAAATGAAAAGAAGAATAGAACTAAATTTCGCTCGAACAAACTAACATTCGAACAAATAACACTCCACACATTTCTACCTAACACCTCTTAAGTTTAAAAAAAACAATCGACCACAATTCCGTTCGATCAAACTTACGTTCGATCAAATTTCCGTTCGACCAAAGTTTCTTTCTATCAAATTTCCGGACGACCAAACTTCAGTTTGATGAAATTTCCGTTTGATGAAATCTCTGTTCGATCAAATTTCCATTCGACCAAACTTCCGTTCGATCAAAATTCCGTTTCACAAAACTTGCGGTCCATCAAATTTCCGTTCAACCAAACTTCCGTCGATCAATTTTTCGTCAACGAAGTTTCCGGTAACCAGAATTAACTTGAAAGTTTGAGATGTAGTATTGATGCTACAAAACTTTGACTACACAAGAAGCCCTTGCTATTACTCCATAATGGTCGTCAAGCAAATGGTGTCAAAAGTCTCAGAGCTTGAAATTCAGACCAAATCTTCTAAGGAACCAGGGTACTTATTTCAAAAGTTTTTCTCGCACCCATTGAGCCTGAACTAACATTTGCATATTGAGATTAAAATATGTTTCATTAAAATTTGCTTTTGTTAGGACCATTAAAAAAAGGACATTAATGTATCCGATTGATATTTATTTGTTATCTCCAGTATTCATTCATGGACAACGTTATGTTGCATTTTCAAAAACAAAGTCCTGCCTCAAAGTTAGTGAAGCGTCTTTGAAACTGACGAACAGGGACACTTAAAGAACGATTATATAGTGTACAATAGTTTGACCCCAAAGACGTTTTTGCTTACTAAGAAAACTTTATAACCAGTATGTCAATAAAATTGTTTGCAGCCCGGGCGCATTGATAGAAAGATTGATAGATAGATGGATAGATAGATAAATAGATAGATAGATAGATAGATAGATAGATAGATAGATAGATAGATAGATAGATAGATAGATAGATAGATAGATAGATAGATAGATAGATAGATAGATAGAT